TGATACTTGCAAATCCTGACCATTTCTGCATCTTTGATTTCGTTTCTACTTCTCTTGTGCTAAGTAAATTACCATTGTCCGTCTGGTTCCCACTTTTTAGTACTATTACTGTTTCCTCCCCATTTCCTTGTCCTTGTGGATATAATTAGTGTCATTTTATTGCAGTTTCAAAAATACGTAATGTGGGGTTAAACATGTTTAACTAGAAGTCCTGACCAGGCAATATCTAAACTCGGAAAGACTATGAGTTTATTCATGTTCATCTTTCATTCATTAAGAAAATTTAGTTTAAAATTTAAAATTTAATGAGCTCCTATGATGTGTCAGACACTGTTTTAGGCTTTTATGCTACATCAGTGGAAATGTTGCTGTCCTTATGGAGTATATATATGTGTGTGTGTGTATATATATGTGTGTGTGTGTGTGTGTGTGTGTGTGTATATATATATTTTTTTTTTTGAGACAGAGCTTCACTCTTGTTGCCCAGGCTGGAGTGCAATGGTGCAATCTCAGCTCACTGCAACCTCTGCCTCCCGGGTTCAAGCAATTCTCCTGCCTCAGGCTTCTGAGTAGCTGGGATTACCGGCATATGCCACGATGCCCATCTAATTTTGTATTTTTAAGTAGAGACGTTGTTTCACAATGTTGATCAGACTGGTCTCAAGTTCCCAACCTCAGGTGATCCACCCACCTCGGCCTCCCAAAGTGCTGAGATTACAGGTGTGAGCCACTGCGCTGGGCCATGGAGTTTATATTCTATCAGGGATTGTTTCCTGGCCTTTTGGCTATATTCCTATATTCTATTAGGAAATTATTTGGAATATTTTGCATCTGGATAACAGAGAGAGCTGATCTAGTAATTTTTTTAGATCAGCTATATTAAGACCACAACTCCTAACTTGCCCCTTCATGAGCTCTAAGTCCAGTACTTATGTACCGTTGAATTCTACAGAGTCTAGGGTAGTCATAAATATACAGTTATGTGTTTCTCTGAGTTAATGGCGACTGTCAATATAATTCCAGGATCTTTTGACTATGACTACCAATAACTTAGATAATGCAAATGCTTCTCTTTTGAAAACCATCTCTGAAAAAAATGGATATTGTGAAAATTCAAAGTGAAACCATTTGCTAATGCTTTAATCTTCCAAAAACTAACTAAATGATCCTAGTTAATACTATGAAAAAATACTATGGAAAAAAATAAGTAAATTATTCTTGTTAATACTATGACTATAGGAACATAACTATGTGTATAACTGGACTAATCTATAACTAAATCACAATAGAAAATATTTCCTATCATGAGAATTTAGCTTTCTGTGCTCTAAATTTTACTACTAGAAAAGTAAGACAGATGACAGCATGATTGCAGAGCACTGAAAAACAGTTGGCCATTATCAAGAGTAATGATCCCTTTTAGTACAGGTGGAATGAGAATGCTCCTCAAGAAAACACTTGAGATATCTATGCAGCATAATCCTCAGCAACAGTTCAACATTAATATTTTGTTACGCTATATTTCAGTGGTTCTCAGATATCAGTCTGCCGACAATATCCATGACAAAATATTCACTAGTCCAAGGCAAAAAATGTCAATATAAGGTCATCAAATGTCTTTTCTTATAAAGGACTATCCTTTATTCTGAGATTATATCCTTAATATATGTTTGATGTTAAAATGTTCTCTTTCATAAAATGATAGTAATGATAGATTGTATTGTTTGCATTCTTAATATCTTTACTTATCAAAATAAAAAGCTGACAATTCTATCCTGTTTTTGACAATACTTTAAAATTTTAGTTTATAAAATCTAGCTTCTCTATGTACTATCAAGGTTCAGGTAATACTTGTGGCAGTTAAAGAGAAAGGCATTTGAGGGAAATAGAGAGAGGCATTTGATTATCTAATGATTGGTAGTCATAGTCAAAAGATCCTGGAATTATATTTATAGTCACCATTAACTCAGAGAAACACATAACTATATATAGGCTCTGTAGAATTCAGCAGTATGAAGAGGCAAGTTACGAGTTATGATCTTAGTATAACAGATCTAACAAAATTGCTAGATAAACTCTCATAGATCTAGGAAAAATATCTTAACAGTATGTTGTAGAAATAGTGCTGGATTAGAATCACAACAGATTTAATCCTAATTTTATCACTAATTTTGAGGCTTTGAACCACACTGCCTACATTTTCTGGGTCTCTCTTTTCATTAAACAAAATGGTTGGATTAGATGATCGTTAATATTTTGTTTGGCCTAAAAATCTATGTTTCAACTCATTTATTTGGATTAGAAGATGCTCTTGGTAACAGCTATTCATAAAGAACCTAGTTAAATTATATCATATGTTGCTTGGGAGAAGGTTCAACACATTAGAGAAATAGTTCCAGTTATCTAACTACAGAGTGGGCAGGGGAGATGGGAGGTGAGTACTTGCTAACAGCTGGACTTTCAGAGAAACTTTTTTTGATAGTCTTATATTGGAATAGGTGAACGGATTAAAAGAAGGGAGAGGTCTGACGATAGGATACCACCCCTCCCTCCCTCTTCTATAGTATTTGGGACACATAAGAGAAATAAGGAAGGCAAAACTTTCGTTATATGATAAGCCATAGAACATCAATGGTGAGGAGATATTAATAAATTTTGCATTGCTGAGGTTCAATTTGGTTCCATTCAATGATAGACTCTGCATAATTTGTTAGGCCTGGTACAAAATGAAAACCACAGGGAAAAAAGTGCTACTAAAGGTACTAAAATATAAAATTTTTTCCCTTCTTTGCAGCACCTCTCTCTCTTTCAATTTGTCATGGTGCTTTTTATTTTCTATTTAATATCATGATCCCCTAGGCTTGGGGATACTCACCAGGCAAATGCAGACCCTCATAACGTGCCTAAGGGCCTCATCACACAACTCAGCATGACTGAGAGCCAACAGCTACCAGGTTCCCTGTCCTGCCAGCGGCTAGACCCATCTACTATGTCCTGGACATGGGTGGGGAAGTGAATTCTTCCCTTCCCGTGGGCCCTTCACTCCAACCCATGGCAAATGGGTGACTCTCAAGAGACTGCAACTGCCAGGAGGTATGCACTCAGTACCTGGACTGGGGATTCATCCTCCCTGCACACTCCCACCAAGTCACCTGCCTAACATTTTAAGGCACTGCCAACCTGCAACAAAGACAACTGTTGTTATGCCTTACCCCAAAATACTGTGGGGTATAGGCACCCCACCTAGGCCCTCCCCACCTGCACCTACACCCTAACCAAAGAGTGAAGGTCAACAGTAGAACACAGACCTTTCCCCGCAAATGTGACCCAATCAAACTACACCAGTGACAGGACAGGAACCAGGAGTAGGTCCCCAGAGGGTGGAAGAGCCAGCAGCCAAGAACCAGTACTGAGAAGTAGTGGAGACAATACCTGAGCTGAAGATCTAAGCCCCTAGCACATGCTTCATTACCATTAGACTTCATTTACAAAATGTAAATTCAAAATAAAATCTTCAAGACAGTGACCATGAAACATTAAACCTGAAGCAGGAGGCCCTTCTGAGTCTGGATCCCTATGATGCCAGTGCACTGGTCACATACTCATGAAACTGGCCCTGGCCTTGACTGATGGTAGTTTTTATGTGGGAGGTAATTATAGTTTTCATGGGAAATGTTCAGCTTTACCCCGAACCCCTTCAAAAGGGGTAAAGTATCTTCTACTGGCCACCCCAGTGGAACATACCCCCAACCCCTTTTCTGAATTGGACATCCTATCACTTGGCCCAGTGGCATACAGGGCAGTTCCTGCTCCTCCACTAATCTCCATGGTTCCTTCATGTTAAGCCAAATAACCACTAAGGTTTTTTAAGAATAATACACTTCAAGCTCCACTGGCACAGATTACTCTAAAGACTTTTCTTTTTGAAACTTGTAGACCAAAACTGGGCATCAGTTGATATGTTCTTGGCGAACTTCCAAACTTCAAGAAACATATGCCTAGCTGGCTGTGGTGGTGGGCACCTGTAATCCCAGCTACTCGGGAGCTGAGGCAGGAGAATCACTTGAACCCAGGAGGTGGAGGTTGCAGTGAACCAAGATCATGCCACTGCACTCCAGCTTGGGTGACAGAGTAAGACTCCATTTCAAAAAAAAAAAAGAAAGAAAGAAAGAAAGAAAAAGAAAAGAAAAGAAAAGAAAAGAAACATATGCCAACCACTTCCACATGAGCTTATCACATTTTACTCTACTGGTAACACTAGAGTGGACCTTCACCTTTCAACAGCATTTCAAGCATCTAGCCAGGGAACAAATGGCAGTCTCCCCTTCTTGTATCTCAATCCCTACAAGAGATTTTCTTGTACATTTCTTCATTTAGCTTCGTAAGGGGAAATGCACCAGCCTCTGCTAGGGATGTAAGAGAAAAAGCCTCTCTTTTTGAACCCTGCACTCCCAAATTATCAATGGCCAACAATGTCTTCTCCTTCCCAGTCATTTTCTTATATATATTGGAAAAAGGATGATGTGGTGATTATTGTGGTAACCGTGCCAATTTTATCACTTTCCTGTGAAGAGAGATCTACCCCAAACTTCTGAGAGCTGGCTGAATGCTCTCTTAAACTGCAGTTGACACTTTCGCCTTTTATTTTCAGTGTTGGATTGTGACCACAATTCTAAGGAAAAAAAAAAAATCCTATTCATTCTGTTGTAACAGAGTGGATTTTTCACTTTGTAAAATGAAGTCGGATACTTGATAAAATTTAACATTTCACTAGTGACATAAATGTTGAATAATATATGTTCATTACTTTAGACACTGAAAACAAGTTGATGAAGGAAGTCAATATCTTACCCCTAGAATTCAAAATAATTTCAATAAAACTGGACAGAAGAATAAACTAAACAGGGGAAGTTAATTAGATGAAAATATACTAAAACACAGATAGACAGATAGATAGATAGATAGATAGATAGATAGATAGACAGATAGATAGATAGAACCTGATTATTTTCTTTTAGCATCTTCAATTCTGCCTCCATTTCAGTATTAGCTTGAATTTGTTGCTGAAGTAACTGCTGCATATGTTGGAAAGAAATGATGATATCCTTTGAAAATACACAAATATGATATATCAATTTAAAAGTTTTAAGATAGTAGGTGTGTTTCTAAGCTCATTCTTCACATACATTTTCTAGTTTCCTAACTCATTGTATTTATAGTTTAATTTCAATACTTTATATTAAACTAATGACACATCTAATGGTATCTAAAATAATTTCTATTACATTATTTTCAAGAGTCCCTCAAATAATTAACAAAGTTTTTTGGAATAAACTGTGGACTCTAAGACACATGTGAATAATTCAAAACTAAAATAAACATTTGTTGGCTACCAACCCCCCAACAGTAAACATATCACTACTAAAATGTCATATAAGGTATAATATTATAAAATGTCATAATGGGCTAGGGTGTCATGGCATACATTCAGAGTCAAATGGAGGAAAAGCAGAAGAGAAAAAAGAAACAAGAGGAATATTCTTTCACACATCTTTTAAAAAATGGAATAATTATAAGCATCAAATAGACAAATGAGAATATAATGTCCTGAAAAAATATGCACTACACATAAATAAACTTCAATAATTATCTGTTAGGGTATCACTGGTCTAATCTATGAAGGAAAAAATTAAGGTATTTTTAATGAAAGTATATTGAGACTGATTTTTAAAAGTATACACATGTATATTTAATACACATTAACTGAGTGCCTACTATGTGCTATGCATGATCCACTTAATTTATTTTTCACATTTTATCTGATTTTTAGAATATTTACTGACTTCCAAATGTCTTATGATTGCTTACCTGTTTTTCTTCTTGAATACGTGTAACCTCTTCATTAATCTTCCCATTTAATTCCAGTTCCTTTAAAATTTGAATAGTTTTAAAGTTATGATAGAAAATTCAGCAAATTCTACATTCAATTCAGTACTAAATAAACTTTGGAGTATTATGACCTATTACTACCCCCAGAGTACCCACATTTGTTTTTTTGTTTGTTTGTTTTGAGACTGTGTCTTGCTCTATCACCCAGTCTGGAGTGCAGTGGTGTGATCTTGGTTCACTGCAACCTCTTCCTCCCAGGTTCAAGTGGATTCTCATGCCTCAGCCTCCTAAGTAGCTGGGATTACAGATGCCTACTAACAAGCACAGTTAATTTTTGCATTTTTAGCAGAGACGGGGTTTCACCATGTTGGCCAAGCTGGTCTTGAACTCCTGACCTCAAGTGATCCACCCACTTCGGCCTCCTAAAGTGCTGGGATTACAGGCATGAGCCACTGCACCCAGCCCAAAGTACCCACATTTGTTTGTGGTTTAAACAGTGACTTCAGTGAACTGAAGAAGATATTATATACCAACATAAGTTGGTGCAAACTTGTAAATGTTAAAAACTACAAAATTTCTCATCTCCAAAGCTGTCCTGGAAACACCATTGTACCACAAGATTATTCAAAACCATATTCAAGTGGAAATTAAATAGTTCTAGCCAAATCTTATTGTTCTAAAGTCTATGGCAAAAATTATCTAATAAAAAGAAAACATTCATAATACCTTTAACTATGTATATTGACTTTGCAAAGAAGGAATATTTTTGTGTTATAATCCTGAAACTCTCGTAAGTTTTATTGAAAATATTAATGTTATAAACAAATACATTTGGCCGGGCGCGGTGGCTCAAGCCTGTAATCCCAGCACTTTGGGAGGCCGAGACGGGCGGATCACGAGGTCAGGAGATCAAGACCATCCTGGCTAACACGGTGAAACCCCGTCTCTACTAAAAAATACAAAAAACTAGCCGAGCGAGGTGGCAGGCGCCTGTAGTCCTAGCTACTCGGGAGGCTGAGGCAGGAGAATGGCGTAAACTCGGGCGGCGGAGCTTGCAGTGAGCTGAGATCCGGCCACTGCACTCCAGCTTGGGCGACAGAGCGAGACTCCCTCTCAAAAAAAAAAAAAAAAAAAAACATTTAATAAAATACCATGTTGAGTCTTTCTTGAAGTTCTTGAAATTTTTGTTCTTTAATTGTTAGATTGATGTTTTCTTCTCCCATCTTATATTGACATGTGACTTTGGACTTTATCAAGTCTGAGGCTGCTTTTTTTAGTTCCTTAATAAGAAACATATTAAACAGAAAATTCAGTACACATATTTCACTTAAAAAAGGTACTTTCCTGACAGTGTCAAAGTTCATCCTTAAGCCTATAATTACAATTTGTTATATTTCATATATCAAAATAATACTGTTGGTCCATTAAAGTGTATTTTCCCTAGTTCCCTTGCAAGATTAGCCAAGGTGGGAACATAATCTGTGGTTGTGGATCAGGCAAAGTTAATCAATCATAAAGAGATTGACTGCATGACTTTGAATCTTAAAAGGAGTGTACTAACATAATCAACTAACCAGAAGTACAGCCGTTTCCATTGTTTATTCAACAAACGTCTTCTGAGATAAAAAGATAACAAGGAAATCTCAATTCCCAAATTTATTAGCCTCTAATAGGAGAAATTACGTAAGAAATTATTACAATACAATGTAATGAGTGCTACATTAGAAAAATGTATTTAAAAAAAAAAACAAAACAAAGAAACTGAGGGTATCAACAAGATATTACATGCAAAGGTGGTATTTGAACCGAATCTTTAAAGATAAATTTGCAAAGAAGACAACAAAGGGGAAGGCATTCCAGGCAAAAGGTTCTACACGCACAAAGCCACAGAAACATGAAACAGCATGATATTTTTCAGGGAAACAGAACTAATAAGATATGACTGGAGCTAATGTGTTATTTCAGGGGACAGAGTAGAATATTGGTAGTTGTGGCTAGAAATTTGGCAGGATTCAAATATTGAGAAGGACTTGTATATCACGCTGAAGAGTTTGAATGTTACACTAAAAAAAATGAGGAATTAACCACTGAAGGATTTTGAGTAGAAGAATGACGTAACAAAATTTGCATTTTAGAAAAATAACTCTGGCAGTGTTGTGGAGGGTGGAACTGAAGGATGTAAAAGCAATCTTCATTTATGAAGTTACATGTTCATTAAGTTTAGTAGATACCAATCAAACACACTAAGATCTTGAAATACCAACTTTTGAATTAGTGTGCAATTGATTGTGCTGTTCTTCTGTGTATACTGACTATATTAAATACTCAATAATCTGATTTTCAGTCTTGGCTACACAGTATCTGAACTCCCTTATAAAGTTAGTACCTGGCATCTTTGTTTCTCTGGTAGGCAGTGGGCAGTTTTTCTACATTCTAAGAGCCCACTGCCTATCAGAGAAGCAAAGATGTCAGGTACCAGCTTTATAAGCATGAGACCAGGCTCTGCTAATCTGATGCGCCAGTCTTGGATATCGAATTAGTTATCACAAAAAAGCAAGGACTATTGCAAATCCATCTGTTGGTAGACAGGGAAGTATAGTAACTTCAAGCTCTATAGGTGACAGTGATACAGCAGCAGCAGCAGCAGCAGCAGCAGCAGCATCCACTATGGTCAGCAATGATGGTATAAGCTGTGATACACACTATTCAAGAGTGGAAGCTGGTTTTATGCTATGGTCTTTGATACTGCATAACCTCCCTTGTTTGTAATCATTTTTCAAATGTGAGATGACCAATGCCTTTTCAATAAATTCCTTTGCTGACTAAATCAGTGTGCAATTAAGAATCCTGACTACTTCATTTTTTAAAGGTCTTAAGAACTGGATAAACAACAAACTTTTGACTCTTTTGTAGAAATAAGTTGATTTATTAGAGTGGTGAGATTATAGGAAATTTTTATTTTCTTCATTATGTGATTAGCATTTTCTATTTTTCCTAAAATTAAAACATCTTTGTAGTTTTAAAATAGTATTTAAGCTGTAAAAACAGGTACTATCACTTAGAGAGTTATTAGAGGATAGAAAATGGAAAACGACTTAATCCTAAGGAAAATTCATAGATTAAAGAAGAAGCCAGTATATAAGGGTGAGAAATAAAGTCAACTGAGATAGGAGGAAACCCAAAAGGAAGCTGAAAGAGGAGCAGCAGAAAACAGGGCTACTAAAACCTTCAAAGTTCTACATGTTACAGCTTCAGCCACCCAGGGAGAAACTCACTCAAGTATATCCTAACTCCAAATTCAAAATCCAGGAGAAAGGACTCATTGGTCTTAGTTCAAATACCACCTTTGGATGTGCACACTGCATAAAATGACTGCTAAAGTAACCACGTGAGTCAAGAGATAGGGCTCTATTCTTAGAAAAGCAGGCAGACAAATTGATGTCTGGCACAAAGAGAACAATTAGTACATATCGAAGTAATGAATGAAAGTTTGAATGAAGGGGGTAGACCTTGAGCTGGGCCTTGAAGAATGAGTAGTATACCGGATATCCTTCATTTGTCACTCCTGATTCACTTCCCACCCTTTCTCCACACTGCACTGTGCCCTCTGTGGCTGATCTCTGTGGGTACAGCAAATTCTCTGTCTTCTGGCTCCTGATTGGGTTAAATCTGTGGGAGGTACTAGTATATCAGTAGGCTAGGAAGAGAAAGAGAATGAGGTATTTTACCAGCTCCCTCCCTACTGACCACAAATTGGCAATAGCTGTATATCTTTATCAAAGATCACAGCTAATCCTAGTGATTTGGGAGGCTAAGGTGGGAGGATTGCTTGAAGCCAAGAGTTCAAACTAGACTGGGCAACGAAACAAGACCCTGTCTCTAAATAAATAAAAAAAATAAGCCAGGCATGATGGTGTATGCCTCTCGTCCTAGCTACTTGGGAAGCTGAAGCTGGAGGATCACTTGAGCCTAGGAATTCAAAGCTGCAGTGAGTAATAATTGTGCCACAGCGACCCCCCACTCCCACCCCCATCTCTTAAAAAAAAAACCACCCCCAACCCTCGTCTCTTTAAAAAAAGAGAAAGAGAAAAAGAAAAAAAAGGCCGCAGCTTCTGCCTTGAGGCTTTCTTCTACAGCTATAGCTACAGCTCTTTCCAGATTCCAGCATCTGCTTCATTCCCGTCTCCCTTCTGGTACAGGTGTGTTAATCATTCTCCCACTACTTTTATCTGTGGGGTGCTTCACCATCCCTTGTTGGTTTCCCTTACCTCTGACTACAACTACGTAAATAGCTTATTCATTAATCTTTTCTCAATTACCATTCCAACATGCCATCTGTTTCCTGGCCCAACCCTGTTTGGTACAAGTACATTGAGAGAAAGCATTTCAAGTATGGGAAGGGATGTAGAGAAAAACAAAACCAAAAGGCAGAAAGAACTAAGAATTATACTAATGGCAACAAAGAATTTTGGCTAAAATAGAATGGGAGATGCTTGTTAAGAAGCAATAGCAAACAATATTGAACATGTAGAATGGACCAGATCATGAAAGCTCTGGAAAGCCAATTAAAGAAGTTGGGACTTGATTTGGTAGGCAAAGGAGAATTATTTATCATTCCTTCTACATATACCAAGTATCTCCTGTGTGTCAGGCACATAGAAGTTAAATCAGTATCTTGGTAAACTTAGTCTGGCAAAAAGAATGAATAAAAACTAGAGAAAAGAACACTGGCTAAGAGGCTATTACATTAATCCAGGTATGAGATGATGAGTGTCTATAGTACTGAAAAATGGAAAGTAAAAAGGAAAAGGAGAATAAAGGAAAAAGATGAGTCAAAAATGAGTCAAAGATGATTCTAGAGTGACTGAGTGAAACTGGAAGAAAGGAAAAGGGGACCATGAAATGTGAAAGGAAGAAATATAAAAATGGAAAGGAAATGCAAAGTGTGCTTCACTGATGGAAGAGACAAAAAGTATATTTAAAATTACGTAAAATAAGAGACAGAAAATATCCTGAAACAGACTCTTTAAAAAGCCAAAAAATACAAATTATTAAGCCTGAATGATAGGTTGTTAACTATTCTTAAAAAAGTTCTTCATTTACATTTTTTTCAAATTACAAAAGGCTGAACATGATGAATTCCCTCAAATAAAGTTTCAGTGTATCAGTGATGATTCATTTTCACAGGCAGCAAGATGGCTTCCTTTGAAAGGAGAGTCGCATGAATTTTTTTTTCAGAGGTAGAGTGGATGGGAGAGTAAAGAATCCAGTGTACGACCTGTTAACCCTGAAGTTACAGTAAGTCACAGAAGGAGATGATCTACAGGTAGCTGAACATATAGAACCAGAGATTAAGAGAAATGTGAGATTGAAAAACTATGTATGCCATCATGCACATGAAGTGAATGGTTGATTTAAGAAGTCTGAGCTCACTGAAAGAAAGACTTTGAAAAAAGCAAACAGAGACCTTAGGATAGAGTTGTGGAAGAATGGAGGAAAAAGATAATCAGGGAGTCTACTACAAAAGAAATTTATTTTGTAGTAGATGACCTTGGAAAAGTTAATTATGACATAAATGTCATAAAACCAATCATTTTATGTTTTAAATATTCATAATTTTATACAGAACACAATATTTGGTAATAAAAAACACAAAGTGTCAGTAACAGGATGCTTTAGCTATAAATATCAGAAAGCCATAACTAACCCACAAAATAATCAGAAAATGTACTATCCTATAACAGGGACCACAAAGTTAGGCAGGGTGGTTGACCCAGACACTCAGTATAGTTCAATATAGACTAGTTATTTTCATGTCTCCACTTTCCATTCTTGGGCCTCTTCCTTAGACTATTAACAAGAGACCAATTCAGGTATTATATGGCAACTGTATCATTCTGGGACTCGTTAAAGAGAAAGAAAAGATTTCCTTGAACTACCTCTTGCTTGCCAGAATTGGATCACATGCTCATTCCAGAACCAAACACTGCCATGAGGAATGGAGTAATATTAATTGGCTTGGAGACAGAATGAGGTGAAATGAATGTTGGGGAATTGTCACAATGTCAGTTACAAGAACAGTTTCAGCTAACGTTGTAAAAATTACAGATAGTTTAGAATACTACTGATTACAACCATTATGCCAAACAAAGTGAGGCAAGGTGGAAAATCTTTTTTATAAGCTGCTTGACATTAATTCATCCAGTATTTCTTTGGTCTCATTCCCTCTACAAAAAAAAAAAAAAAAAAAAAAAAAAGGAAAGGTTGGATCCAGTTAGCA